TTTGTTTACTTTGACATCTCCTGACCATTTGGCTTCTTTTTCCACTTTGAGCTGTAATAATGGAAGTAAAAGAGAGGAAACGTTCTGTGGATAGGGTGAGAAATTTCTTAGCTGTCAATTTTCGGTAACTCGTCATTTATTTAATAACTTAGTTTAGCATCCTCAAAGATGAAGGGCTTTTGTGGGACTCTCCTGTGAGTTATATTTTTCCTGTCCTCAAAAAGAGTGAAAACAGGTAACCATTTTCAAACTTGCTTGCCTTCTTAATGCGAAAGTTTCTTCTAAAGCAACAAGAGTAGCATTTGGTGGTGTCTAAAAGTAGTAATGAAACGTTTATGCTCCATAAATTTTTAAACTTTTTATTAAAAATTTTACCGCTTTAAGAGTAGATAAACGGTTTTCAGTTCGTTAGAGCAATGGCAGCATAGTGGGACCAGAAATTTATTGAAGACAAAAGAAAATGAGAAAAGTTAGAGTCATTCCGCTTAATAAGTTAATTAAAAAACTGTAAGAAGTCCTAAATACAGAATACTTTGTAGTACTGTGTTGGATTGCCTTAAACGTTATGATCGGAACTCGTCATTGCAGCTGATATGAGATGCTGATAGCTTGAACAGAAAGGGCGAAATATCTTCAACATAGTTCCAAATTACAACTGATGGAGAAAGTTAGAAAACCACAAAACGTTTACTAAAGGAAAAAAATCAAGCTAAGGTAAATTGTCATAGCAATAAAACTTTCAGACATACTTTTAATGTATTAAGAACTACACTTCCGAATCGCTTGCACTTCTTACAGATGTTTCAAAGCTGTCAGAAGTTATAACGCATAACGCTTTCCCATTTCACTACTGTCTTCGTCACCAAGAGAATAAAATGAATGACAAGAGCAGGCAGTTTGTCAAGATACAAGAGCCAAAGCATAAAATAATGGCTAACACTTATTTGTTTTATCAGATTACTTTTACTAGTGCAGTTTAAAGAACGATCACAAATCAAATGACATCCAAAAATGGACAATCAAAATTTATTTTTTGAATTTTTCCCAAATACACGCTTCAAATTGCATCTAAAAAACGAAAAAGTGTTTGTGCGATGCAATCATTTGCTGCATTTGCTGCACGTCCGTCAGCAAACTCCTCACATCCGAATTGGTTAAAAATACCTGGCACTAAGATATCACAGGTAATGAGTTCATCCTTAGATTACAGTAAGCACAGGAAAGTCATAAAGCGCCTCAAGGTTTTCATAAGTGGAGGCGCTTCGCAACAGCAGAACGCCAGAAGACGTTGTTGACAGTGGACAGAACGAGTGCTGCGCGTGACAACGATTTTGAAGCCGTGATTTAGGATTATGAGAAAAGGTAGTTGTTTCTAGTTCACTTACTTTGCTGCTCAAAATGTTCAGCTATAAGTAGTTTAGTCGCAAGAAGCGTGAATGCTAGTAATACTGCAGATCATGAAATAATGGAACTTGTTATGTTGGTTAATTGAGTGGTTCATTAAGCGAAATTAGAGCATACGTCACAGGTTACGAAACACTAATAAAGTAAAAAGGATAAACTGAACAAACGCGTCAAACTCGTGTTCGGTGAAGCTGTTGAAGGTCATTTTGACAGCTGTTTTTTAAATAAAATTATTTGTTCAGCAGTGGCTTAAAATACAAAAGAGCGTCAGTCTGATCATTTAAAAAAAACAAATTCCTTAGTTAGGTATTTTATGACGCGTTTTTTAGAAGAGAAACGAAAGCTACTCTTGGAAAGAAGGCTGGCAGATATAGATGCAAAACTTGAAGAATATGCTCTTTTAAGTGATTCACAATCTGATCTTATCAAAAAGTACGACAAAAATTAGCTTACATACTCTTTCAAAAGAAAATTTAAGTTAAAAATGTTGCAGATTGTACTTGAATAAATGTTAATGCACGTTTAACTAATGAATTGCTGTTACTCTTCTTGGTGTTTTCCGAATTCTTACTATTCCAGCCTCGAAAAGAAGGACAAGGAAGCTACTAGAGGGCTTATAAATGCTGAAAAAGTTTTGGACGAGAAGCTTGCAGAGGCTATTGGTGAGGAAGATGAAAGTCTGACGGATGATTTATGTTCTGGGCTAGCTGAGAAAATGAAGTTTGGTGTATGATTTTACAAGTTCAGACTAAGCGTACTTAGAAAGACGCAAGCATGCTTTATTAAATTTAATATTATTTTTAAACTGTCATTTATATCTTTCGGTTGCTTGTTCTTTCTTATTGTTCCCTCAATTTGGGTAAATTAGCAAAGTGGCGGGAGCACTGTTTTTATTTCTGTCAGTTTTAGTAGTAAGTAAAAGCTCTGACTTAAGTGGTATTCAAATTTACAAAACGCACTTTTCTGAAAATTGCTTCACCACTGGCTTATTGAGAGGCTATTCTCTAATTTCAAAATTTATTTTATCATTTGCGCATTATTCACGAAAAACCTTCCAGCTTCAGGGGATTTAGTCAGATGATGTCTTTCAAACTCTCCTTTTAAGCATTGTTATTTATGTTCAATTTTTCCAGTAATATTTTTAAGCATGTTCTCAGAAAAACTGTAACTGGATTTTCTTGCTTTTTTTTTCTTTTCTTTGGAAATTCTAAATGTTGAATGGATAACTGGCTTTTTTTGGAGGTTCAGCATGAAAGGGAGTACTACTAAGAATGAAATTGTTGATTTTTGTGGTAAAATTAAGCTAAACGAGCAACATAAAAACAATTTATTTTCAGTCAATAAAACTTTAGTCAGGAGCTGGGAAGAGTTTAAACTATTGTTTTAATGAATCAAGCAGGTTAAGCATCAGTCGCAGGCTATAGTAAATTACTCTTTCATTCATTTAATGGTCGCTTGATTTGCTCTTTTTTGCAAACCATCACAGCCCGTTTAATTGGAA